TGTAGATATGATATGTTACATAGCAAACAAGATTTAAGGCTGTTTCCTCAGGTTGATGACGTTGTTGTTAGATGCCATTAAGTCATCTCTGGCTCATTGCAACCCTGTGTGCAACTGAACAAAACACTGCACGCTCCTGCACCACCTTCACAATTGTGCGTGAGCCCATGGTTGGACCAACTGCATCAATCCATCTTGTCAAGGGACTCCCTCTTTTTCACTGACCCTCTGCTTTTCCAAGCATGGTTTTCTTCTCCCAGGACTGGTGTAGCCTGATAACGTGTCCAGAGTACATGAGATGGAGTTTCTCAATCCTTTCTTCTAATGAAGAAATCTGTCTTTCTGCGAGGCACATTTGTTTATTTTTCAGGAAATCCGTGGTACTTTTAACATTCTTCTCCGACATTATAATCCAAATATATCTTTGTATTTGGTCTTTTGCCTTCATTATACATTTTCTAGTTTTGACATGTATATTAGTCTGGATACTTTAGAGACACAAATCCACAGAAACTCATGTATAAGAGAGCGTTTCATATAAAAGTTAAGTTCACATCAAGAAAACATCCCAACTCAGTGCGGCCCAAGCCCACAAGTCCAACATTAACCCATTAACTCATATGTCCAACACCATTCCACAAAGTCCTCCTCCTTCTCACAAAACACACACTAAGATGCCGACTGTAGGAGGAAAGCCGAGTCAGTGAATGTGTAAGCATCTCAGCGCCCACAGGGGTCTTCACACGGCTGCTCCAGCAGCCAGAACTGCACGGGGTAGGTCCATGAGGCTTCTCCTCAGGGATGGAAGTGAGCCTTGCTGGCTGAAGCAGGAAACTGGCTAAGACAGCTGCACCCTGGTCTGACCATCACAAAGCAAGAGACCCAAGAACTAGAAAGACAAGGATCACGGAGCCATTTATCTCTCCACCCTTCAGTTAACCCTGCATGTGTCTATTGGCCAAGTTGGCACAATAAACTTTAACTATATCAATATGCATATACCAAAAATAACACAAACAAACTAAACCTTGCCTTCTAGTCAGTTATGACCCAAAGTGACTCTAAATATAGGATTTCTCATGCTGTCATGCTTTTAGTGAGCAGAAAGCTTCATCTTTCTCCTACAGAGTAGCTACTAGTGAGTTTGAACTTCTGACCTTGTGGTCAGCAGTCCAACTCATATTCAATAGTAGTACAAGAGCTCCTTGAACATACCATGGTGTGGGTCATGTACACCTTAGTCATCAAAATGACATCTTTCCTCTTTGACACTTTAGATAAGCTTGTGCAAGTGATTTGCCCAGTACAATATGCTGTTTGACTTCTCAATTGGTGCTTCTATGGATACAATTAAAATGAAACCCTGTGTGTTAGTCTGGATTGACTAGAGAAACAAATCCAGAGGCACTCGTGTGTATAAGAAGGAGCTTTATGTACAAGAGCAATTGAATATTGAGAAAACATCTCAGCCCAGTCCAGATCAAGTCCTTAAGTCTGATATTAGCCCCTAAGTTCGATACCGTTCTATAAAGCCTGCTTCAGACTCAATGAAACACATGAAATGACACTGAATGCAGGAAGATTATAGGCCAGTGGGTGGAAGGTCTTGTGGATCCAGTGGTGGTGTAAGCATCTCAATGTTGGCAGGGGTCTCTACGTGGCTCTTCCAGGTCAGAGCACTAGCGTAGCTCTATGTGTCTTCTCAACTGGAATGTCTTGAAGGGAGTGAGCGTGTGTCCTGCCTTCAGCAACCTATTTATCTCCTTAAGGCTCCAAATGAGGTCATCAAACTGTGACCTGATTGACAGGCTAAACTCCACCCCTTCACTCTTTGTTTCACATTGATAACATTATGTAACTACCACACCTTGCAACGTTAATCTTTTCTATGCGTATCATGATGCGATCTATTGGTTATTTGTGAGGATTTTTGTTTTCTTCGCATTGAGGGGTAATCCGTCCTGGAGACTGTTGTCCGATCTTCACTGGCAAGTGCTGCAAGTGCTTTTGGTTGCGTCATCGGATATGAGGAGATGTGATGGATCCAAATTGGCTTCACCATAATGGCTCTTCTATCCATCATCTTTCTAACTCTTGCCCATTAATTGTGAATAAGGTGTAGAGGACGTGAGGACTGGCTGGTTTTTTCATTCCACTGTGCCGCCTCAGAAGCAGGAAGAGGAAGTCTCAGACTCACTAAAATAAATATTCATGAGCGTAGAACAAGAGCAAGTTCTCTGTGTGGAGAAGTGGCAGTGGCAGTGGCAGTGGCAACACAAGGCAGAGAAACAGACTCCCTGCCCAGGGAACAAGTGAGGCAGGGTGACCTCAGGCAGGGAGTTGGCTTGCAGAGTCAGGGTTGGGACATTTAGCAACACTCGTGTGGCTTGGAAGTACTTTCCTACACAGAGCAGAGGCCAGGGACTCCCTAATTGAGAAGCCAAGGAGCAGGGGGAGATGTGCCTGCCGGCATGGTTGAAAAGAGATGCTGCTATGGACACAAAGGACGGTATCCGAATTATCTTCCAGGCAGGAGTTCCCAGGCTTAGGGGTTGGTCTAGTTGACTAGTCGGTCTTTACATTCTCTCCATGTAAGATCCATCTCTGTACTAATCCTGCAGTCTGCCACCATCCCTTAGCCAAGCTTGGCTGGCAGGTTCTTCTTCATGACAGACTAGCCGTTCAGCCACTGTTCTAGGAGTGCCAGTGCAGGTGAATGGGTCCAGGTGCAAGGTCACTGGAATCTGGAGATGTGTCCAAGAAAAAGTCCAGCATCAATCCAGGGTTATTGAACAGAGAGAGGAAACAAAGGTAAGCTGACAGGAATGAGCAGCAAACCAGATTGGAGCAAAGGTTTCATTGCAGGCCTAGGGGGGCGGGGTAGGGGGACATTGCCTGAGCCCTTAAGGGCTGCTCATTCAGGTTTAGAAAGGTTTTCATTGTGTCCTGGGAGGGTGCCATTCAAAGCACTTTGAAAGCCAGGCTATAGGGTAGTAACTCATACTAGGGATGAGGAGCAAGAGCTATAAATCTGTGGAGCGTCTGAAGGGTAGGTGGCAGAAATGAGCTGTGAAACCCAGCAAACCAAAGTAGAGTAAGGGTGAGAGAAAATCTGGAGTCTGGGGAGGCAGCTTGAGTTGAGAGGAGCATTAAGGTATGTCAGATGGGAAGCAGGCAGAGCAAACTTGGAGCTGGGTGATTCTGCCAAACTATTATTGCTTCTGTGGTCTCAATGACCCAGCCTCTTGTACTGCCCTGCAGCATTTGACCCCGAGCTCTACAAATGTTTGTGGATACATTGATTCATACCAGCACAGTGGCAGGCCGAGTGAGTTTCACTGAGTGGACCCTCAACCAGCTCTAGTCCTGCGTGACTCTCTGGCCTTAAGGCAGCTACATGTTCTACTGAGTTTAGGACCATCTGTTGGCAATTGATCCACCCAGAACCTCCCACCCTAAGAGTGTTTTGTTTTGTTATTTTTAGAACAGGAGAGAAAGGTGGAGCATTGGACTTCCTGTAACTTCACAAGGAGGAAGGGGCCTTCCCATCACAACATCGGTTGCCCAAGGCTCATTCTTATGGGGCTGAGGTCAGATATGCTTCCACTCTCCACCGTTGTACCAATTCTGATGGCTACGGTCCCTCCTACAGCACTCTGTATTTGCTGAGTTCCATAATTCATCACAATGACCGTACAGAATTCACAGAACATGCTTTGGAATATGGGATTTATTAGAGAAGCTAACAGGTTACAGTTTAGAATCAGAAATGCTCAGGATACAGCTATTTGGACCAGGCTAGGCTCTTCTGTGCTGTGCTGAGAGGCAGAACTCTTGCTTACTCTTGGTTTCTTGGCTTGGCCTCTGCACGGCTTAAGCAATGTTATAAAACTCTCTTAGGGCTGCCAGTAAAAGGCATTCAGTAAACAGGGTTGACTAGAGAAATAAATCCAGAGATACTCATATGTGTATAAGAGAGAACTTTATATCAAAAAGTAACTGTATATTGAGAAAACATCCCAGCCCGGTCCAGATCAAGTCCATAAGTCCAACATTAGCCCATACATCCGATACTAGTCCATAAATTCCTCCAGACTCATGCAACACATGCAATGATTCTGAATGCAGGAGGATCACAGGCCAGTGGTGGAAAGTCCTGTGGATCCAATGTTGGTGGAAGCATCTCAGCGCTGGTGTGGGGTCCCTGTGGCTTCACCAGCTCTCTGAGTGTGTCTCAACAGGAAGGTGAAGCAGAGAGAATGTGTAGCCCACCTCCAGGGAGAAAGAAATGAAGTTCCCAGAATCTTCATGAGAAAGTCATGCCCACAAAGAGGCATTTTCAGACTGTGACCTAATTGACAGGCTACACTCCACCCCTTCACTCTTAACATCTCCAATTTGACACGAGATTATGTAACTACCACAGCAACTATGCCTTAAACCTAAACTCCAAAGTGCCCAGCTGTTTGTATGTGCCACTAAAACTATCTCTCCCAATTAAGTGGCTGGCAGCACCCATCTCCATAAGCCAGCTTCCTGCCCTCAGCTTTACTAGCTCTAGAGAGGCTATAAAGTTCATTGCTCTGTCCCGTGCCCTGCCTCTTCGTTCTCTTGCTGTGGCCCTTCAGATGCTTCTCAATCATTGTAGCTGTCTCCCGAATCCTGGAAGTTCAATGCATAGAAGTTCTGAGGTCTAAAGGGTACATTCCACTACTAACGCTCATTCTTGATTTGCTGCCCTACTTCTTAGATGACTCATTTTAAACCCAGAAGGATGGCAAACTTACCAACTTCCTCTTTAGTGTTCAACATTTTACAATCAAAATTACCAGTACATCTCGTACCTCCCTCAACCTTCCCACCGCCGTTGAGTCCGTTCTTCAGAAACCCACAGGGGCAATGTTACCCGGTCCTACAGGGCCACCGTGAAGTCTAGTGACAGCCACTCAGCTGAATCCTACCAGTATCTCCCCCCGCCTTCTCACACCCAGGCCCATCAGGAAGAAACTCCTTTGGTGAAAGTTACAGAGACTGACTAGAAGAAGCCTATTAAATAATTCACTGCACTATGGGGAAGTATTTTTCTAAGAAAGTTGTAATTATTTTCTCTGGTACCTTTCTTAAAAGAGTTCATAATTTTGAGATTAGATTTCATTATATTCTTACTTAATTTTCTTTCTTTCTTTTTTTATTTTTTACTTAATTTTCCTTCAACAAACATCTGTGTCCTGGGATTTTAGCGATGGAATAAATATTCCTTGTTCTTCCGTGGCTCATAGTGAAGCAAGAGAAAGTGCATATAAAAGGCTTCAACAAATCTCGGAATTCCAAGATAACAGAATATATGCACAAACTTTTTGAAAGCCCCTCATGCATATCTAATCACAACGCAACACCCATCATGAAGATCTACAAATACAATGGGATTAGAGAATTCTGATAAGAATTTACGAACAGGGCCATTTAGGTAAGGCCTTAATGAATAGGTAACCTCTTTGGTAATGTTGGGGAACGTTCTCAATTTTTTACCTAGTTCAGGCGTTCTAATTTCAGTTTTGTTGATATTTTTAATTCGACGATTCTTTGATGTAGAAAGCTGCCATGCACATCGTAGGTTTGTAATAAATATCCCTGGCCTTTATCAACTAGATGCCAGAAACACCCTATTACTTGTGACATTCTAAGTGTGTTTTGAGTTTGCTAAATGCATCTTCGAGGTGAAGAAGGTGACCAAATGAGACCTACTTGAAGAGTTAGCAACCGATGACCCACAGCTAAATCTGGCCCCCAAACCTATCACTGTGGAGTGGATTCCAACTCATCGTGACCTTTTGGGACAGAGTAGATCTGCCCCGTAAGATTTCCATGGAGGTCATCTCTACAGACGTGGGCTGCTGCCTCTTTCTCCTGCAGGGCCGCTTTCGGTGAACTGACCTTTTGGTGGGCAACAGAGTGCCTAACTGCTGTGCCATGTGGGCTCCTGTGGTGGTCACCTAAACCGGTGTCAATTTAAGGATTAAGAGTGTAGGGGTAGAGTCTAGGCAGTCAGTCTAGAGATAGCCAATGAGTCCCCTGTGTGGGCATGGCCTTCCCCTGAGAATTCTGGGAAATCTGGTATTTCCTTCTTGGAGGTAGAAGACACCTCTCTCTCTGCCACTTCCTGGGAGACATTGCACAAGACAAGCCACATGGATGCCACCAGACCTCTGAAAGGCAACACCCTAAGAGTGTTTTGTTTTGTTATTTTTAGAACAGGAGAGAAAGGTGGAGCATTGGACTTCCTGTAACTTCACAAGGAGGAAGGGGCCTTCCCATCACAACATCGGTTGCCCAAGGCTCATTCTTATGGGGCTGA